TTCTAGGGTGTTTGCTATTCCACCCAGTTTTGTATCATCTGCAAATTGGATTATCTTTCCTTGTACTTCCTCATCTAAATCACTAATAAAGATGTTGAAGAGCACTGGGCCCAGGACTGAGCCCTGTGGCACCCCACTAGGTACCAGCATCCAATTTGAGAAGGTGCCATTGATGAGCACTCTTTCTGTCTGATTTAGCAGCCTTATAGTTTTGCCATGTAGTCCAGTTTTTGCTAATTTGCTCATCATAATGTCATATGGCACTATGTCAAAAACTTTTCTCAAGTCTAGGTAGATTATGTCCACAGTGTTCCCTTTGTCCATTTGGAAGATTACCCAGTTAAAAAATGAGATTAAATTAGTCTGACAGGATGTATTTTTGATAAATCCATGCTGGCTTCTATTACTGCATTTTCTTTGAGATGCTTGAAGACTGATTTTTTAATAATTTGCTCCAGAATTTTTCCAGGGATTGATGTCAGACTAACTGGTCTGTAGTTCCCAGGTTCATCTTTTTTCCCCTTTTTGAAAAAGCAGCACACAATCTGATGCAGGCATGACTAAGGCCATGGAAGCAGAATCCGAAGGAATCTTGACCAGCCCGAGTTGTGTGGCGTTCACATCCCTAACCCGAGTTGCCGCTACTGAAGGGGAGAAGCCATTTCTTTGTCCTCGAAGATTTGGGAAAACTGTCTTGGGGAGACTGCAGAAAAAGCTAATGTCTTGCAGCCGGCTCAGTATTTCCACTCCTCTCCAGTATCACCTACCTAAATCATTCCAAATATTGCACACGGCACTTTTAACCAGCCCCATTTCCCTGTCCGAAGCTTTTGGCCCAGAAGCGCAATGCACCACCCAGCCCAAGCAAAGCTCTCCACTGCATACAAGCCGCACTTCCCAACACCCAAGGGGCATACCCTCTTGCACAAGGCTTTCTTGACAATCCAGCGCTTGGTGGCTCTCCGGCGATACTGTGGGGGGGCAACATATTCAATGCCCAGCTGCTTGCAGGTATTCTCAAAGACGTCATAGCGGCTGTTGCGCAGGTTCTTCAGCAGCTTCCTCCGATGATCTAGGGCCATCAGCATACAGCGCTTGTTGCTCTTGTCCTAGAGAGGCATAGTAGGCTATTAACAGCAGCTGGTTTCAACAGGCTGCCCACTGAGTAACACAGGTAAGTATTCCATGACCTGGCTACTCAGCTACATACTAAATTTAATTACATTCACACATTGCAAAACTCTGAGGCAATAAATCACTTGCTTCAGAAAAAATTACCTTGGGATGAAAGTGCAGGTGCTCCTGGAGTGTGCGGATCTTAGCCGTCAAGTATGCCACTGCAACAGCAACAGAAAGTGGTGCAGAAAGGCTGGAAAGAAATGGCCCCTTCCAACGGTGCTGCGCTCACTCCTTGCTTAAAACTGTGGGAGAACTGAGCCAGCGAGCTGCCAGGCGGGGCGCCCCCTCTGCTGTGCCCAGCTTGCGGCAGGATGGGCTTTACTGCGCAACTGGAGCAATGTGCTCTTTTCCTGGGATGCTTGAAAGACCATGTAGAAGGGGAGTGCAAGGAAAGACAAGAAACAGGGCCACTCTATCAACCCTGCAGCCCTAGTGGTTCCTAAATTGTCTGCAATTTAGTTGGTTATTTTAAATAATTTTCAGTTTGCCACTTTTTACCCCAAGGTGATTTAGCAAAAAAACAGAAACAAACAACCTCCCCCCCAGATTAAAACCATAAAATGCTTTAGAATACAACAAAACATAACAATTACTTAATAAAAACAATTCCCACCCCACAGACCCAAATCCTTCTTGAACAGAGGTTTGCTGGAAGGGAGACAGAGGGGTTGCAATCCTGGCCACCCCTGGGAGTGACTCATGGCCCAGCACTGGCCACTAGAAAGGCCCTCCCACATCACCAGCAACTGTAGTGTCCTAGACATGTGAGCTGCTCCAGAGCTCTTAAGGCCAGGTGAGCTCCTATGGGAGAAGATGGTCTTACAGGTAAGCCTGGTCCCAAGCTATACAGGACATTAAAGGTCACAAGCAGCATTTTAATTCTCCCCAGAAACAAACTGGCAAGCAGTGCAAATTACCAGGGGAGTCATGTACGCTCTGTAATGTGCCTTCTGGTCAGGCAGCAACATGCTGGACCAACCGAAGATTCTGACAAGTTTCCAAAGGTGCTCCACATGCAGCACGTTCCAATAGCCTGAACAGGATTCAGTGAAGGCTTACATGACTGGGACCTTACCAGATGTTTCGAGGAGCAGGTGTCACTGGCACACTTGGCTCGGCCTGGACACCCAGGTCCAGGCGGAGTCCAGGAGCACTCTCAGACTGCTAGCACTACGTCACATTAAGCCTTTGTGCGCAGGTTTGCTTTCTTTCATCATTCCTTTTGCCCACAGGCTGCTCTTTGAAAGGTGCTGTACCCCTCCACCCACCTTGACTTGTTGCTTAAGGACAAAGGAGAGGCAGCAGAAGCGGCTCCCCATCACAATGGCAACGCAAGCGGCACTGGACTAGAGCACTTCCCTGCTGGAGACGTCGTGGCTGCTTGAAGGGGAAGGGGCAAGCGCCCATTTGTTACTTGCAAGCAGACTGACTCTGGCTGCCCCTGGCTTTGCAGAGGAAGCACCACGGGAGGTTGGTTTCAGTCTTCCCCAGAGACCACAAGGGGTACATAACAGACAGGATCTGTAAAAGCCTGTGGGGTGGTTTCTTTGTAGTTTACACTGCCATGTCAGCATGACAAGCTGGCAAGCATTAAAGACCCCAAAGCCAGTAGCCAGACCGTTTCCCACCCAGCCCAAAGAGGCCCTTGACCGCTGAAGGGGCAGCTCAGGGCATTTCTGTTTACCTTGAACCTCCGTGGAACCTGTATCATTTGGGGTATTCCGGACTTTGTCTGCCAGTTGCTCTTTCTTTATTTTTACTTTCTCCCTCTGTGTGTACAGTGAGAAGAGAAAAGAAGACCTGCAGAAGCTGAAGATGGAAAATTTCATTCATGAGCCCCACAATGGCTCATGCGCTCTTTGAGTGGTTTCTCTCTCAAGCCATTTAGCCTAAGTGCTGCACAGGACATGCTGTGGCTTGTCTGCTCATGCCAATATGTCCCGTGGGTCTGTTTGCATGACATGACAGCCCAGTGCAGGATCTTAATATATGTGCTGCCTATGTCCCTTTCAAGAAGCACCTATTGACCTATCAAGCATGTGTATCAAACTGGTTTTCTCTAGAAAAGGGGATGGCATGTACTTCTGCCTTGAGGCAAAGAGGTAAACATCTGTATCCCAAGGACAGTCAGAGCAAACCAGAAAAAGATACTTTGTCACAACCAGGGTGAAAATCTCACCAACTCCTCCTTGCAAATAAAAATCTCTTGTACCTATGCTTTTTCCTGACAGCTCACCGTTCACAGCTCTCAAGAGAAACCCAAGTGTAGAAAAAGCCTATCTGAGATTACACCGCATCACTTTCCAGACTGGGACCTACTGTACCTTGACAGCAGCTAGCCCACTGAACAATGCCCAGCAGAGACTCCCAATTTGCATCCCTGTGCAAGCACAGCTGAGAATGTAACAAAACCACAGAAACACCTGCGTACATTGTTGGCACACGTTTAAGCAATTATTTGCCAACTACTGATGGCCCCTTTAATGTGCTACTTTGTACTCTTAATAGGGCTATCAGTGATTGGTCAAATGGAGATAATGAAAACTGGCTGCCACACGTGATTTTGCAATCTTCCCCAAAAAAGTTACAAGTACAAATAAGCTGCACCAAATGAAATTTGCTTGGATGTGGAGCAGTATGCAGCTACTGCAAAGAAGATAACATGACTCAATAAAAGAATTGTGGCAATTGAGTAGGGGTCATGGCGCCAATGCCAGCTGCCCCAAAGTGCTGCTTCAACACTGGTGGCAGCCAACGCAAGCTTCGCAAGTGTCCCAAGGGGTTCCCTCTGGCTCCAGCCCAGCAGCTCAATAACTGCTTCCTACTGGGGTCAGTGGCCCAGGGTCAGATGACACAGCAACCAATTCTCGGCACAACCCCCACTATGGGCTACTGGTTGCCAGGGTGGCTTGCTGCCCTCCAGCAAGCAGATTGCAAAGTTTACATGACACAGCCACCCTCTGGGGATTATCGTGCATGATAGGTTGTCATGCCCTGTGAACAAGTCCCTGGAGCTTAAAAAGGTTACTTTGTCTTATTTAATCTACAGTAGCTTATGCAATCATGTGAACGGGATTGCCGTGTGTATGAATGGAATCAGATCATTTGTGTCAGTGGTAAGATTATTTTTAAAGCTTATGGCTCACCCGCTTCCCTACAGCACCGGCTGAAATTGTGTTTTTATGGCTTTATAATTAGAAACACATGGAAGAGGGGAATATGAATGATCTTCAAATCCCAAATCCCAATTTGCCCAAATAGAAAAGAACTGACCTGGGTTGCCATTTCCAGAGACAGCATTCTTCTTACAACATCGTCCACCCTGCAGGAAAGCAGACTCCTTGAATGGTTTGGCTCCGAGCCTCTAAAAAGCTTGACATTTTGAAAGAATCCTCAAGAGAACTTAAGGTCAAGGACATTTTGTATTCCAAAAGAGTGAAACAAGCCAAGGAGAGGGCCTGCTCCATCACCATCCCTACTCACTGGGACCATCTACCATCAGTTGTCTTATTGGGAGGTAGATTGGGAGCAGATCAGTTGGGCTCTCCCTACCCCTGGCTAATCTTCTACCAATTCTGCAAATGAATTGGGTGATTTATGATTTGATTTATTTCTCAATCTGTGTGTATTGTTCATTAAGATGTTACATTTTTATGTCACCTGAATGAAATTTAGTCCTGGAAGCATTATTCTGTCACAGAACGTTAATATAGGAGAGGAAAAATATGGAAGTGAAGGAATATGTTAATGGAGTCCTTTCATAGTCTGAATAAAAGGAGACCTGGCTTGCATCTTAGTTCCCTTTTTCTTCCTCACTGGCAGCTGGCAGAGCTGAGGGTAACCATATGCTGCATAAGCACTAACTAGCTATGGCTACTTCTGCCATCAACCATTCCCTTACAATTCAGTCATTCCCTGTATCCCTCCCAGCCTTACTTGTCTGCAACCGGGAGCATGGCATAACACTTCTTCAGCATTGTAGGAGGAAGGTCATCCAAATGGCTGGGAATTTCTGACCAAAAAACGAACAAAGAAATCTGATGAGAACTCAGCCGACTGCTGCAGTCCACATAGTTTTTCCAGCAATGGCCAGCCAGATACCTGTGGAAACCCCCAAAGTGGCTTAGGCCCCCCACCAAAAAAAAAAAAAAAAAAAAGGAAGAAGAAAAAGAAAAGCACTTGACAATTCCAAGTAGTTTAAGAAAGAGAAAGAGGATCCTTGTTCATAAAGCTTTGGTGGCTCGGAGATTATAAAAAGGTTGGAGCACCAATCCAGGACAAAAGAACATGAGATCTGTAAATGGGTTGTGCACATAGGTGGTTGGCAGCATCGCCAACCAGCTTTTATTTCCTCATCAACATGGATCAGGATTTGGGATCAGACACTAAAGCACAAACCCCACAATCTCCAGTATAGTCATGACTGCCCTTAACAGCTGGGCCAGAAACACTTCAAGATCACAAGCACAGGGCAGAACTTCTGATCAACCTATAACACAAACCTTGTTTCTTTTTCTGGACAGGCCTGGCATAGTCCCTGGCTACTTGAAGGAGGGGACTGTTACCTAAATACAGAAAAATAGCTATATTATTACATGTCCCAAACCAAAGTCAATAATGTAAGATAATAACAGCACAAGAATATCTTCCTCCTGGGAAGTACTTAGAAAGCAGAACGTAGTTTCCAGAAGAAGCCCACATGGGATGGCACCCTCCAAGTCACGTTCGGAGGAACCGCCCGCGGCCGAGCATCTCGGGCTGCAGCTCGCGGGGCGGGGCGGGGCGGGGCGGGCCACGGGCAGCCCGACTGCCCCTCCCTGCGGCGCTCGGGATAAGGATGGCGCGACGCGGCCGGCCGGGCACGGGGAGTCCGGGGAAGGGCCTCGGCACCGGAGCCCCGAGCAGCGCCGCGCGGCCCGCCCCCTACTTACGCGGCACTCCCCGCGCGGCTGCCGCAGCCTCGGCGGCGCCGAGGCGCAGCGCTGCGACGCCCGCCCGCGCCAGCGGCCGCAGCAGCTGCAGCGCCATGGCCTCCGCTCCGCTCCGCTCCGGGCGCCGGCGCCTTTTGCGCGTCACCGCCGGCGCCTTTTGCGCGTCAGCGCCCGGCGCCGGCGCCTTTTGCGCGGCCATTGGCGGGCCGCGGCAGCTCGGCGCCCGGCGGGGTTGCCGGGAAACGGGGCGCGTGCCGCCTGGCCTCCGAGTGGGCGTCCCGCAAGGCCGCTACCGGGAGGCGGCGGAGAGGCGTTTCCCTTTCCTGCCGGGCAGAACCTTTCCCGGGGAAGTCGTGCAAGCGCTGGCGCATGACCAGGCCTGAGGGAAAGCCGCTTTCCCGCAGAGCAGCCCGTGCGCATGCGTGAAATACGGCTGGCGCGGACGGGCCCCGTTCAGGGAAAGCTCCTTGGCGTTCGACAGGTAACAGCGGCCCAAAGACTGGCCACCTCCGCCCCCATCTTCCCACCCCTTCGGAGCATCTTCTTTGGCATGCACGTGGGAAAGATCCCGCCGTTGCACTTCTTTGCTTCTGTAAGCTATTGCAAAGTGCCAGTAGTATTTCGTGTAGCCTTCTGATGATCGATCCATGTATAAAAGGATCGGCTGAGGACTGCTCAGGTGCGCCATCTGGAACGATCTGTTGGCAGCCGGTTATTCTCGAGAATAAATGCTGTAAAAGAAAACCTTCCCATTGTGTAGTTTGCGCATAAGCACACCGGGACACGGACCATTCGGTCGGCATGCCCTTTCCCCAAGTCCACAATATCGCTTCTAGGAGCGCTGACCAGAACTGACTGCAGCGCCCTGAATGTGACTCTCTCCTCAAAATCCTCCTCCGTGTCAGCCACTCTAAATAATGTGGCGTCATCAGCAAACTTAGCTGCTTTGTTGCCCACTCCTAATTCCGGATCATTTATGAGTAAATGGAAAAGGTTTGGTTCGAATGCAGAGGCCCGTGGTGACACCCCTCTAATGGAAAACTTCTGATTCTTTGCACTTGTGCTCTGTGGAGCCTTGCCGAAGCCTTGACCCGAAGAGCAGCTTTAACAGGTTCCAATAGGCAGAAGGGGCAAGAAACCCCTCAAGTTGTGACCTTCGTCTGCGTGTGAATGAAACACTAATGTGATAGAAACTGTTTGGCTGAATTGCATTCTTACTTGCATTGTGCTGCAGAACATGCACAGGGAAGTCGCTGCCGACTGTCTGCTGGCAACTGTGGTAAATTACCCTGCCTGGCCTTCAGAGGCTAACAAGGGGCAGAAGGGAAGATCAGAGTGTAGATGGGGAGAGATCAAAATGGCCAATGATTGATGGGGTTGCTCTCAAAGGTATAAAAGCATGTGAGTTGTTAGTAAGGGAGCTGATCTCTGGAAGAGTGGGCAGCGCTGCATTGCTGGGTGCATGCTTCACCGGGGCCTAAAATCCCTGGCACCTTCATTTCAATATATATACCATATATTCCTGCATTCTTACTATGCATTCTATTCTCTAATCAGTTACTGATGCATCAGAGACATCAGCTTTTATTCCATGACTGCTAAATTTGCAGAGTCTTCCTTGAGGGACTTTGTCAAAAGACTTTTGGAAGTTCAGGGAAACAATGTCTGCTCAGGCCTGACACATGTTGGCTGACACTCTGAAAGAATTCTAAAAGTGCGATAGGACTTAGCTTTTCAGAAGTCACACTGATTCTTTCTCAGCAGGGCTTATCCTTTTATATGCTTACTAATGTTATGTTTAATAATACTTTCAGCTGATGTACTGGGAACAGATGTTAAGCTAATTGGCCTGTAATTTCCTGGATCACCTTTTAAAAAGTGGCATTACATTGGCCATTTCCAGGCCTCTGGTACATGTCTGAATCTTGCAGCGCTACTAGTGAGTTTTTTTGGGTTCCCGTGCTGACCTTTCTCACCACTCCATGGCTCTAATTTAGAAAGGCAAATAAATGCGAGACTTTCTTTAAAAAGTCAGGCAGGGGTCCTCTGACTGTGGCCCACGGGCTGAACCTGGCCTGCTGTGTCCATTTATCCAGCCCACCTCAGAGGTTTTGGACTCCCCGCCCCTGTGACCCCTGCTTGCCTCGCCCCGTGCGCAGGGAGGCGGTGGCTTGCTCGCACAGAGATCGTTTTGGACTCGCCCTGAGAACACGATCTCCAAGTGAGCAAGCCGCTGCCTCATGCGCCCGCCCCCACCCCTTCACTGGCCCATGTGCCCAGCACCGGCACCTTTCAGCTGGCCCCGTTGAAGAAGTTTGAGGACCCCTGAAGTAAGGGTAGCCAGATGAAGAATTATGAAGCACCTTTAATTTTTAACATTCTTATATACAAGATAAATAGCAGCAACAGTGGGGGAAATATTTTAGGGGAAATGGTGGAGTTCTCTGCGCTCCCTCCAAGAAACTTTATTCCCTTTGACTGCCCCACTTCTCATGTTGAGAGAGAACGTCTTTGTTTCCCTTTCTCAGTCCTCCAGGCTGCTCCTTGTTTCTTCCATTCAAGTGGGGCCTTTGTGCACCAGCTACTCACAGCGTCACTTCCTATCATAGAAAGAGCAACAAAATGAAGAGCCTGCACTGACCCAGAAGCTGCTTTTTTCTTGTTGTTTCACCTAGCTGCGCAAGCACCAGTAGTAACGTTGGCAAGGTCTGAACTGTGTTTGTCTTTGCAGAAAGAAAAGGAATATATTTGTTTTATTCTGCAGCAATGAACCTCCTAATTCAATGCCAATGTGAAGTTTTCATTTCTTGGATTTCCCCTGCAGAACTGCCAGCCTAGGAGCCATTGCTGGGTACCAGCAGACCTCCAGTTCCTCAGGGTGAATGCCGGTCCTACACTCTAGCACCAGTTTTCTGCACATGCGTGCATCTCTACATGTGCAAAATGCTATAGAAATATGGGCGGGGTGGGGTGGAAGTCGTGTTCCAGCAGCCAGCCTTTGAGAGGGCAGTGGCCATGCAGGCCAGTGACGAGTGGCTACAGAGGAATGTGTGCATGTGTGTCTACATGCACTGTTAGAATACCGAGATGGGTCATATATCATTCAGGTACAAGAAGAGAGAAGCATAAGTTATGTTTTCCAGCAGGGATGAGTCAGAAATGGGGCTGCAGGCAAGAAGAGTCAAAGGCATGGCAGCCTTTGATGTCCAGTGCCTGTTTTGGTGACTCTTGTCCAGGTTTGGCTGGGGAAAAGGGAAGGGTATCACTCTCCCGAATCCAATGTCCTCCTCACTCATCCCTGGCCTATCAACAGAGTGAAATACAAAATACAGCTGGGAAGCTGTGTGGCCAGAGGGACCAGGTTGTGCTTCCTCCATGGAGGATGAGAATAAAAAAAATGAAAATCCACAGAGGCACCTCCAGTTGTAGCCCTTCTCCATCAGCTGGGCTCTACAACCTTCGGAAATTGCTCAGGTCTTCATTGCCATCAATTTTTAGACCTTGCAGCAATGGGAAATCTAACAGTGCCCTGTCAAGGAAGAGGGCGTCCTCCTGAAAGTTGCAGCCCTTCTCTCTGTCTGTCTGGTTACTGTGGAACCACAGGTTCTCGTAGGGCTTTGGGCTGGGTGTCATGTCACCCAGCAGAGGCTGTGTGGAGTTGGAGCGCATGTAGAAAGCAGAGGCTATTTCTTGTTGGCTGCGGTAACTGTCCACAAGCACTTTGGCGTATTGGATAGACTCCGGGCTATTAATGTAAGAAGCTGGTGTTGAGCCACCAGTTGGCGAAGCATCGTCAGGGTTGTGGACATTGGAATCTGAGAAGTTTGTTGGTCCATCCTCCAGGTCCTTGGTGGATTCACTCTTCCCACAGGAGAGGCACTTCTTCTCATCTTTTTCAAGGACTAAGATGGCAGAAACAATGACAGGACTGAGCTCGCATGGCTTGGTAGCTGGGAGGGTCTCCTGGAAAAGAATGTGGGAGGAGAAGGGATGGTCAATGGCAACAGCGCAGACCAAATGTAAGCAAGTGCAGGATTGGATCAGAGCAGGCACGCCTCCAGGCCAGCCTTTTCTCCGCGGTGGGTGGCCAGCTTCTGCAGGTCCATTCAGGAGCAGGCTAAGTGCCTGCATGTCTTCAGCATCTACCCAAAGGTGAAGGCTTTGCTCTCCTGGTTAACATGGCTAGTAATCACCAGCAGGCTGTCACTGTTGTGGATCAGACTCCCTCGGCCCAGTGCTTGCCAGATAAACTGGGCTGCAGCTTCCATCGATCTGGACCAGCACCAGGATTGGGAGGGCTGCCCTGGACCCACGAAACCAAGTGCTCAGGCTCGAGGCTCACTTTCCTGAGGGCTGACTTGCTGCTGCTGCACTTCCAGGGCCTAGCCTGCACACCTGCTGCACAGCTCAGTGCAGGTGGAGAAGTAGCAGCTGCTTCCAGTGGTACTGAGAAATGTCTTTGTTACTTATTTATTTGATTTATATGCCGCCCGATTAGCTGCAGGCTCGCTGGGCAGCTTGTATACAGTCAAAAGAGTAAAATTCAACAATATAATAAAACAACAGTGTCAATAAAATGAATAATAATAACTGATAATGATAAAAATATATTAAATATAAAATAAATAACTAAATGATAAATTAATAAACTGAGGGGGATATAAAACATTTATCCAATAATGCAACATAATTCACAACCAAATTAAAACCATAAAATTACAGTTAAAATGGTAGCAGCAACTAAAAACAAACCCAACAGATTCATCCTTCAAAAATAAGTGTGAAACCAACAGGTCTTCAGCTGCTATCCGAAATAATGCCATGTCGACATGAGACTAATTTCCTGGGGAACTGAACCCGACAACCTGGGTGTGATTCAAGAGAATGCCGTCCTCCTTGCCAGCTCCCCTTCATTTCACTTGGGGAGGAACACGGAGGGGGGCCTTGGGTCTTGACCGCAGTGATTGTGAGGGCATTTAAAAAAAAATACTTATTTTTTAGACTTATTTTCTGCCAACCTGGCCCAAGGGCCCTCACAGTGGGTATATATGGAGAAAGGCGCTCGCTCAGATAACCTGGCCCCAAGCCGTATAGGGCTGTATATGTCATTGCAAGCACTTTAAATTAGCCCTGGACAGTGACTGGCAGAGAAGGTAGTCTGTACAGGACCAGAGTGATCACTCACTCACCAACCATTACACAGAAACCATAATCAAACAACTCGTTCATACATCCGTCTCCCAACACAGCCTACATAACTCATCTACTATATTCCAAAATCCAGCATATCAATAAATTCATTCAAGACCCCCTGCAAAAAAAAAGCTACTGAATGGGTGCCAAATGGGCAATGCCCTTTGGTGCCGCCCTTTGGCGGCTGCCCAGAGGCACGTCTGCTGCTGCCGGCCAGCGGAAACAGGCCCTCACCAGGCCACCGCCTGCCCCTTCCGGGCCTGCGCCTCCACACTCCATGGCGCAGAAGTGGCACCGGTGCCCCTGCCGGCTCTTTGCAAGCCCTCCCACGACTTGCTTGGCTGCAGGCAGAGCTGGGCCAGGCCGTGAGAGCGTGGCGTGGGGCCCCCTGGCTGCTGCTCCGTCAGGCACGCCCCCCCCATTACCTCTTGCAGCACGGCTGGTGCCCATCTGCCCAGGCTGCTATTGGCTGGGTCAGGGACACTGGGCCAGAACTGGGTCTTCATCCTGTTGGTGACACAGAAAGGAACGGGTGAGCCTCGAGCAGCGCGTGTCCCAGCAGGCCGGGGGTTCCCAGTCCCGAGGGCTGCATGCCACCCGTGGCAAAATGGCAGGCACAGAAGTGGCCAGCCAAGTCTTTTGTCCACCGAGCTCTTGGGGAGCACTGCTTGTTCCACTCCACGTGGGAATGTTGCTTTGGTGGATTTGCCGCACTGCTTGTGCAGTCCCCTTGTTTGCTAGGACATAAGGCACACGGGAGACGCTGGTGCCTGAGGGGTTTCCTCCCCCATGCAAACAGTAGCTCCAGAGGAAGATGCTTCCCTCGGGGTGAGGAAAGGGCTGCTGGTTGTTCCATCCAGTCTTCCCTCCCACAGCTGGTGCTGCTTGTATCTGTCTTTTTAATAACCGGTATCTATTTGGCGCTTCCATTGTGATATGCACTTCCTGGATTTTCTACGAGTATTTTAGTGCCATTATGGTCCACAACCAAACAAATACAATAAAGTCTTTCCATGTCAAAATACTGTCAGCTTCCAGCTGCTTTTTGAGCCTTCATCAGGCTTCTTGTCCATGATGTTTAATGCTCCCCACTGCTTTTCCCACCAAGAGTTTCCCCTTCTCCTATTGCACCCAGTGTCAAATACCCTTCGCTGCTATGGTCATCTGCCTTCCCTGCTAGGTCCCCTTCACCCCAGCTCTTGTCTTAGGTCCTCTGGGCAGTGCCCCGCCTTTTCTCTGCCTGTTCTGCAGTGCTCAGCCTCCAGATGTGAAAGGGGATCCTAGAGAGCATCAAGCCTTGTGCTGTTGACACTGCTTGGCAGCTGTGGCACTGACATGGCAGGCAGGCGTCACAGCCTCATGGAACGGTAGGGTTGGGAGGGGCCAGAGGGCCATCAGGTCCAACGCCCTGCTCAGTGCACGACTAGGACGGCTGTCCAGCTGCACCTTAAATGCCTTCAGTGTGGGGAGCCCACCACCTCCCTCGGTCACTGGGTCTACTGCCATACTGCTCTAGCAGTTTGGAAGTTCTTCCTGAAGTCCAGCTGGAATCTGGCTTCTTGTAACTTGAGCCCATCCTTCTGTGTCCAGCACTCTGAGATGATTGAGATCCTGGCCCTCCTCAGTGTGACAGCCTTTCAAATATTTGAAAATGCTATCATGTATCTCCCCTCAGTTTTCTCTTCTCAAGGCTAAACATACCCAATTCTTCCAGTTCTTCCTCTTAGGGCTTTGTTTCCAGTTCTCTAATCATCTTTGTTGCTCTGCTCTGAACTCTTTCTGGTTTGTCTGCATCTTTCTTGAAGTGTGGTGCCCAGTACTGGACACAGTACTCCAGATGGGCCGTAACTAGTGCTGAATAGAGGGGAACCAGGACCTTACCCGATTTGGAAGCTATACTGCTAGTAATGCAGCCTAAATGGCATTTGCCCTTTTTGCAATCCTATCACATTATTGATTCCTACTTAATTTGTGATCTGCAACAATTGCAAGATCCTGCTCACTTGCAGTATTGTTGGACCAATATTCCCCATCTTGTAACGATGCATTTGGTTTCTTTTCCCTAGGTGGAGAGCTTGGCATTTGTCCCTACTGATTTGCATCCTGCCACTTTCAGCCAGTTGTCCAGCCTCTCAACATCATCCACCCAGGTTTTGTGTTATCTGCAAATGTGAGAAGCATCCCTTGTGCTTTATCATCCAAATCATTGCTAAGCATGTTGAAGAGCCTTGGCCCAAGTGTCCTTCCTGTGGATTTTGCAGCCCCTGGTTCCTTCTCCACTCACCTCTTGCTCTTCTGGAAGCAGATGACCAGCACAGTGATCATGGCCAGGAGCAGCCCGATGAGTGTGTACACGAACAGGATGTCTGTGTCGTCTGGAGGAGAGATCAAGGGGTTGAGCAAGGAGGGTTCAAGAAGACTTGCACTGGGGCTGAGTGCGAGTGGGGGTGCTTGCCCCCCCCCCCGTGCCATTTACGTGAGAAGTAAACGTGTGCCATTTACTGGCTGAAGTGTGCAAACAGAGCAGGCATTTTGCACACACGTTGCTCGCCCCGCCAGCAGAGGGAGGGTGGCTGGAGGGCATGTGTGCATTAGTTTCCCCTTGACCTTGGACCGTGGGATGCCTGGGAATCAGCAGGTAGCTGCCACGACCCAGGGAGGAAACCCCTGCAGTTCTACCCTTGGGCATGGCAGCTGGTGGGGGTCTCAGATGGAGAAGCCCCCAGCGGTGTTGCGGGAGCTGCAGGGTAGTTGCACTGGACCGCAGTGCAAAGATGACCCTGAATTACTCTCGTCAGCCCTTTCCAGGGCAAGATCACACTCGCTGCCTCCTGCGGCTTCCTTCATTGCAACAGTGAGCATTTGCGTGGGGCATTTTTCTTTGGGAGAATGTGTAAGGACACCCAAGAATCTTAGCTGCTGTCACAGAGGCCCTGCAGTGCTCCACGCAGCTCAGGGAGGAGGCTGCTGTGGCCCACAGGCGTGAGCCCCCTGCCCTGCTTCTGTGACACTTGTTGTGTGGGCAGGTGACCTGGAGGGTCATGCTAGGGGAGCGAGGAAGGTGTACAAATCACCATGTGTTTTGGGCATACACCAAATCAATGAGGACCAAAGTTTGTACTTGTGGCCACAGCAAGGAGCTGTTTTGCACCCACTGCCCTTCACAGCAAGCAGGGCCACTTCTGGGGAAGTCTCATCCATTCCCAGCAGTTTAGGAGAAAGAGGCTGTAGGTGCCAACCCCAGTTGTTCTCCAGTTCTGGGATTCCCGCCAGGTATTTGGTTCCCAGCCCCAGCCACAGTGGTTTCCTTACCCATTGCCTTTGTGTGGAATGTCAGAATGCTTCCATTTGTACTTCCCCCCACTGTAGAGGCCATTATATGGACAATGTACATCCTCGAAGGCCAGAGGTCTGTGATGGTGAAGGTGTTCACCGAGGAGTTCAGAACAGCGCCTGGAGGAGGCAATGAAGGGCAGAAGAACTGGATCAGCAGCAGGGCACCGTTCCTCATGCCTCAGCTTTGGAGCCTGGGGGTGAACTGCCTAATTTTGGAGCCAGGCCGGGGCGGGGGGGGGGGGGCTGGGCAGCACCTGCCGGATGATGAGGGAAACCTTGGCCAGATCAAGTCTGGGCAGGGCTCAAATGGGAAGACAGAGGGGGCAAAAGAGGCCAATCCAGGAAGAAGGGTTCAGCCAGGCAATGGCTCAGTCCTTCCTTGGGCTGACCTGGAAGGGCAGGGAAGCAACCAGAGAGGAGCGTGTGGAGGCCGCAGTCCTGGACTTCGGTTCTCGTTGCTCTCGGTCAAGGACTGTGCCGGCTGGGGCTGAGAGGAGTGGAGAAGGTGCCAGATCGAGGAAAGGCCGGTTAGATGGGCTGATGAAGAACCTTGGGCGGTACTGATCAAACAGAAGATTTTTAAAGCTTCATTTGTACAGCCAATCCAGGACTGCCTCTGGGTGGCAAGAGGCCGCATCTCCGAAGAAGCACACTTCTCATGCTGGGCAGGGAGTGTCCTGTGTGATGGGAACAATGCCCTCCGGCTTTCCTTGCACTCTTAAAAGCTGCCTGTTTCTTGCTGTTGTTTTAAATGGGAGGGATACATGCTTCTATTATAGACAGCAATGAGGAGTGTTCTTATAATGCATACATTATACCTCTGGTGCTCAAGTTACCGGGGAATGAACATTTTCTGCCCGCCCTCATAGCTCTCCTTTTCGAGGGCTGGGGGTGGGCATGAGCTGGCTGACCTGGAGAGTGGGGGCACGCTCTCTTCTCATTAAAAGTTTCTCCTCTCAGTTTGAGCACAGAATGCATGGTTCTGCGGGGCTGGGGGCTCATCTGTCCAGCACAGATTCCTTCCTGCGGGGACAGATGCCCTCTGCAGCCTTGGCTGGTCTGCGAATAAGCGGGCTCCCTGCCCCCCGTGGTGGGCACAGCTGTTGCGCCACAGCCAGGCACGGGCCTGCCTTGTCGCTCGACTGGCCGTCGCGGGGCACTCGCCACGAGGGGCTTGTGGAGCGCTCATGGCCTGTTACAGTAACTTGCAGGACCTTCTCGCCTTTCCATCTTCCCATGTTTTCCAGCCTCTTTAATGCTTTTTTCTTTCCGAGCAAGGGAAGCCTGGTATTAAATTTTTAATGGCAGCAAAAATGATAGGAAAAAGCAGGTACAGTGGTACCTCGCCTCATGAACGCCTTAGTTCACGACCAAATCAGGTCGCAAACAGAAATTTAGGAAAAAATTTTCCTCAGGACATGAACTCCGCATTGGGTGATGATCGCGATCGTGCCCATCTTCTCTGTGATTAAAAAAAAATATTTACAGAACGAAATACCCTTATTTACATTGAACCTTATGGGGAAATTTAACTTGGGTCGCGACCAATTTGGGTCGCGACCAGAGTCCTGGAACGGATTAAGTTCGTGAGCCAAGGTACCACTGTACTGCCAGTTCGCCCTGGGGCAGCTCTGCCACAGCGCCAGCTCCAGGGGGCTTGATAGAATATATAGCGAGGCAGAGAATGACAGACCCCAAGGAAAAAAACTAGTGCAAAGCATCGATTTTTCTTCCCACAAGAAAAATAGAAGATGAAGCCTCTGGGGGTTAGACCCCTCATGCGGAGAAGCCCTTGGTCCCCCTCACGTAGTCTGCGCCTTAGACTGGAGACTGAAGCTCTTTACTGAGCGATGGAGGGGGCGATGGGATGGCAAATCTGATGCTGCTGGGGTGTAAGGAGCACAGGGAGGACGCCCCATGAACTGGCGGTGTCCCTGGAAGACCTGAGTCTAAGGCTTACCCAGCGAAATATTCCTCTGTTCCCCGAGGCAAGCGAGGGGCTCGTCCGCACTGCCAGGAAAAATGGGAGCCTCTTCCAAGCTGGCTTGTGGAGCCTCTGCTGGGGGCTGCCGCCCCCCCCCCCACTGCATGGCAGTTGCAGGCTCTTCCCTGCTTTACAGGGAAATGGGATGTGCTGAGGGGGAACTCACTCCTTGTGCCTTCGTGGGTGCCGGTCCAGAAAATGGTGTAGTTGGTGATGAAGCCATTCCGCTTTTCCACTGGGATGGGCTCCCACTGGAGTTCTGCTGTTGTCTTACTGACCACTGGACGAAGTTTGGGAGTGTCAGAAGGAGCTGTGCAGAGGGAAAAGGGTTAACATCATCGCTCTCAGAGCAGGGTCAGGGGGGTGCGAGGGGCCCAGCTGGGCTCAGTCATCTGGAGCATGGCTGCTTGGGAGTGACCCCTGGAGGAGTCTCCTCCTTCAAACATTTCAGGTAGGAGCCCCCAGTCTAAGAATGGAAGTGTTTGTACCAGGACTAACTGACGTATTTCCCCATCCCAACCTCCCCTATTTTGACAAGTTAAACTGTGGAATCAGAGAGTATATCAATTTTGATTTAGATAGGTATTTAGATTGTGCTCCTGCACCTCTTGCTCCAGGGCAAAGATGATCCAGCAACAGGTGTAGGGGGCTTTCTCCAGCTCTGAGCTGCTGGCCTACGAGTGCTGCCCATGGAGGACAGCACTGCGAGGCAAAGGCCGGCTGGCCCCAGAGGCTGCGCTGCACCCACCCAGTAGCTGGTGTGGGGGCCCTCAAGAAAGACGCCTGCCGCAGGGGCCTCCCTCCCCTCCCCTCCCCTCCCCTCCGCCACTGCCCAGCTGCTCTTGCATCTCCTTTCAGAAACACAGAAACAGAGCGAGTCAGAAGAGGTCTCCCGGGCCATCTAGTCTGACCCTCAGCTCCAGCCGGCTCCACTCAGGACATGCCCACCAAGTGCACGTCCAGCCTATCTTTGAACACCCTCACCGATGGGGCCTCAACGACCTCCCGTGGAAGCCCATTCCACACCCTCGGGGTCCTAACTGTCAGGAAGTGCTTCCTGGCATCTAAATGGAACCTGGGTTCCCTGAGCTTTGCTCCGTTGGAGCGCGTCCTGCCTTCCTCTGCAGGGGAGAACAGGTCTCTACCCACCTCCGCGTGACACCCCCTCACATACCTGCATGTCGCCAACAGATCCCCTCTGAGTCTCCTCTTCTCCAGGCTGAAGAGACCCAGTTCCCTCAGTCTCGCCTCATCTGGCATCCCCTGCAAACCGGCCACCAACCTTGTGGCCCTACGCTGCACTGACTCTACCCTGGCTATATCCTTTCTGTCATGAGGGGCTCAAAACTGAGCACAATACTCCAGTTGCGGGTGCACCAGAGTCGTGTAGAGTGGTAGCAATACCTCTCTCGATCTAGAAGCCACGCTTCTGGCTATGCAACCAAGGGTGGCATTCGCCCTCTTGACCACCGCATCGCACGGCTGACTCATGTTTTGTTCCCTTGCGTGGCACCATCACTGCTTCTCAGCTTTTCCAGGCTGTGGCCATGGAGAGGAGCAGCAGCTCCCAGGACCCCTACTGGGGCCGATCATGCCCACCCTTGGTGGGGCCTCCAGGAGGAATGGGAGGTATACCTTTCTGCCAGGTGTAGACCTCTATGTGCTGGGGTGCTCCCACTCTGTCGCCGTAAAGAGGGTAGAGGGAGACGTTGTACAGCTGGAAAGGCTCGATACCTTCTGGGGAAAAGAGGGGTGTGCTTGTTAGGGGATGCCGGGCAACCAGGAAGACCCTCAAAGGCTGGGATGGGGAGGTGCTTCCAGTGAGGCATTCACACGCCAACCCCTTGCCTCATCCGTGCTGTTGCTGTTGAGGGGGGCAGGTAAGCCACCTCCCGCCTGTAGCACTCCTGTGTCCTGCTCCAGGCGCCTGTCTCCCCACGAAAGCAAAATCGAGGAGGAGAGGGCAGCGCGGGGCACACGCCCATCTGCTGCTGGCCCTTCAGATTTGCAACGTGGGACTGGCATGCATTGGTGCACTGGTCCCTTTGTAAGTGTGTTTTTCATCTCATAGCTTGGCCCTACACCTAACTAAAACGGATGTCCTGCTGGTTTTGCTGGTTCTCCTCCAACTATGACTCAGCCTTCAGCTCAGCACCCAGCTATAAGGGGGAGGATCATTTTGGTCAACAAAGAATATATACATTTGCATAAAAATAAATATGCCACTGCATAAACATGCCCAATCCCATCCTGCCTAGTTAGACTCAGTGCAGAGCTGACAGAAGTTGTGCTTCTCCGACTCTAGGAAGAGGCAGCAAAAGAGCACCAGGGACATTTGGCCTGAGGATTTGGGGTGTGGGGGGAAGAGCAGCTCTTGGCCTCCCAGCAGCTGTTCCCAAGGGTGAGGGAGCCCTCCCTCTGGCTCTGTGGGTCACCTTGGATCAGGGCTCGTGTGACGCTGTCCTGCAGCCGTGTCCAGCCGATGTCGCCGTCAGATGCGCCACCAGAGGTCACCCTCCGCCACTCGAGGATGTAGCTCCAGGCCGCTGTCCCTGGGGAATCCCAGCAGACCCAGGTGCTGTGTGCGTCCCGGGGGATGGCTCGCATCCTGGGCACAGGCGGACCTAGGTATGAGAGCAGGAAAGGCCACGGGGCAGGACTGTAGCAGCTGGAGGCTTGGTGAAGGCCAGCTGCAGTGACTGGTGCGATGGGGTGGGCTGAGGAGTGAGAAGCCACGGAAGCCATTCTCTTCCAGGAACGTCTCCAAATAGCCCCTTCGAGCACCCATTTCCCTGGGAACCAAGCCATCCTGTGGTCTTCTACAATGTGAATGGGAACTCCTCCACCACGGGATTGGCGCTCCTGCCGTGTTTTGCATCCACTGACAAGTGCCCACTACTGAGGGCAGGCGGGACAGCTCAGCATGGAGTCTTGTGCCTGCCTACCCAGAAGTTCAGCGTGGCTTATTCTCAGGTGAGCATGCAGAGGATCGCAGCCTTAATTGGCAAGAAGAAGGCCAGTGAGGATGACTGGTTCAAGAATGTGAACCTAAGCATTGCCCTGTGTGCCTGGTATGTCAGGGCTTCTAACTGGTCACACTGATGACTAACACGTGCCGACCTACTGTACAAGGGTCTCTCTCTTAGGAAAGAAAAATGTCTATCCTTCAGGTTTCACATCCTCTCCTTTTGATCTCTTTCCTAGTCTTGTGCACCCCTCTGGGGTGGGCCAGCACTGTCCAGAAGTAATGGCTGGGAGCAGGTTGTTAGCCAGTGCAGCTTCGTCCCATAAGATGAAAGGGAAATGCTCTTGCCTGGTGTATTTATTTCAAAGCATTTGTAAGTTGTTTTTTTCTGAGCTACCTACTTATAAAGTGATGTACATCAAAAGAAGTGACAGAGATCTAAAAGGGACATCAGAAAAGATGATACTGATAAAGAAATTTGCTCTGGCCAAGGCTATTATTAATTTCTTCAGTTCCAAACTTCCCAATAACAGAAACTCCTTGGGCAGTTCACAGAAATTACAAGCCACAAATGGAAGGTAAGAAAAGTGTAGTATATACAATTTATAAACTATTTATAGGGACTATTCATGATTTGAGAACTGTGTTCAGGTAGCAAAAGGGAGTCTGTCCGGGTGCAGGCAGAGCTGATGCACCCCTAGGGATCGACAGCGTGGCCTCCTCTCAGGCCAGGGCGGTGCTCTGACAACCTGCCCGCCCCCCCATCAAGCCCAGTATAGCAGTAACTGTAGTATCTGCTCTCTTGCCCAAACTTATAAGCCTGTCCTCAAAAAGACATTTTTTCATAATGTTCTCAGTGCAGTTGATAGAGGGCTTCACTTTAAACTCTGCTCAAATTAAAAGGCTCACCTGATTTTTAAGAAATGACTGTCTGCCCCTGCCCCCCCCCCTTTTCCAAGTCATGCAGCCTGGGCAGCCTCAGCTTCCAGGGATGGGGCCTGCAAAACCCCTTTCCCCAGTGCTCACACCAGATCCCACTTCTGCGATTATGCTGCAAGAGATGCTGAAAGGTCTGCAGAGGGGCTGCCCCCAAACTGAGCGGGATCTTACCTTTCGTCTCAAGCAGGTGGACTTCAGTAGGCTTTGATGAGCCTTTGGAGTTGTAGGCGGTGAGATAAATTCTCTGCGTCCCGGCTGGCACAGAGAAAGTGCACCAGGTCTCCGTGGTGTTGCAGAGCACGGAGGGGTCCTCTTTGCGCGGCCTGGTGCTGAGCGTGGCCCAGTAACCCAGTATTTTACCATGGGCTTCGTGGGGCTTCATTGGCTTTACAGCACAGAGAGAATTTGGATAGGAAGCTGGGTTGGTTACAGGTCAGATTTGGCCCTGCAAAGCTGCTTTGACTGGTTTCCATAGGATCCCCCATGGAAAATGACGGGCAGATCACTGTCCATTTCCCTTCACCCCTGCTAGAACCCTTCAGCTGTGACCTGCCAATGGTGCTGAGAATTCTCGAGTCATAAACCCCTGGAAAAGAGGGAGATGCTTTCGGCAACCCCCTGCCTCCCCCAGATAGAAACACAGAGACAGAGCGAGTCAGAAGGGATCTCTCGGGCCATCTAGTCTGACCCCCTGCTCCAGCAGGCTCCACTCACGACATGCCCACCATGGGCATGGCTAGCCTATCCTTCAACACCCCCACTGATGGGGCCTCAACCACCTCCCGGGGAAGCCCATTCCACCCTTGGGGTCCTAACTGTCAGGAAGTGCTTCCTGGCATCTAAATGGAACCTTGGCTTCCTGAGCTTTGCTCCGTTGGAGCGCGTCCTGCCTTCCTCTGCAGGGGAGAACAGGTCTCTACCCACCTCCGTGTGACATCCCCTCACATACCTGTATGTTGCCTCCAGGCTGAAAAGACCCAGTTCCCTCAGTCTCGCCTCACACCCCATCCCCTGCAAACCGGCCACCAACCTTGTGGCCCTACGCTGCACTGACTCTAACCTGACTATATCCTTCCTGTAATGAGGGGCCCAAAACTGAACACAATACTCCAGTTGCGGGCGCACCAGAGTTGTATAGAGTGGTAGTAATACCTCTCTCGATCTAGAAGCCACGCTTCTGGCTATGCAACCAAGGGTGGCATTCGCCCTTCTGACCACCGCATCACACGGCTGACTCATGTTTAGCCTGCAGTCAACCAGCACCCCAAGGTCCCTTTCACAAGTGCTGCTCTCCAGCCACTTATCACCTAACCTGTACTTATGACACCCACTCCTCTGCCCCAAGTGCAAGACCTTGCACTTATCCACATTGAACGCCATCTTGTTGTCTCCTGCCCACTTCCATAGTCTGTCCAGATCCTTTTGGATCTGGAGTACCTGCTCCTCAGTTGTGCCCACTGCCCCGGTTTTAGTATCATCTGCGAATCTGATCAGCAGACTGTTCACCCCTTCTTCCATGTCGTTGATGAAAAGATTAAACAGGATCAGCCCCAGGACAGAGCCCTGGAGGACCCCGCTTGTCACTGGCTGCCATCCTGATGATTCCCCACTAATGGTTACCCTCTGCTTTCGGTCAGTCATCCATGCCCTAATCCACCAGACAGTGCTTTGGTCTATCCCAAAACTCCTCAGTTTCTCAACCAGGGTATCATGGGGCACTTTGGCAAAGGCCTTGCTGAAATCCAGGTAAACCACATCCACTGCATCCCCTCCATCTAGCCATCGCGAAACCTTGTCATAGAATTCCACAAGGTTTATCTGGCAGGACCTGTTTTTGCAGAAGCCGTGTCGTGTGGCTGTCAGCCTCCTTTCCCTATCCAGCATCACTAGATCTCTCTCTGTTATGAGCCTTTCCATTGTTTTTCCTACAATGGACGTAAGGCTAACAGGTCTGTAATTCCCCATGTCCCTTCTACTCCCCTTTTTGAAAATTGGGGCCACTGACGCCACCCTCCAGTCCTCTGGAACTTCACCCAGATTTTTACAGGTGATCCAGACATGTGGCTGCATCTCTCCAGTGTTCTCCCACTGCTGCGCTTTCCATCTTTTTCTGCTTGCAGAAACATCCACCAAGAAGCCTCTGCATCTTTGTGGTCACACCAGTTCTCCCCACCCCAGCTGCTCTCTCACTACTGGAGAAGCTTAATGCCTCTGGGAGATCTGCTGCAAGAGCGCCCTGGCGACATCCAGCCTGGACAACATTCTGTTCTCTGTGGGCTGACAAATCGAATCCGGGCGAGCGCAAGAGCCATGGCTGTGCTTTACAAAAGGGCTCGGTCAAACTCAGGTGGCAACAGAAGGCCTGGGGCGACTGTGCTGGTGGGGCCCAGAGCCAAGGAAAGGACTTCGCTGTGTGTGTTGCAAACGGACTCACCTTCCACAGCAGCTGCACCTCTGTCTCCTCTGCCTGTCTGGGCATCACCTTCCACCAGGCATCGAGCTTTCCCGAGGGCACTGGAGGAGCAAAGGAGATCTGGTGGTGCACGCAGGCGAGCGAGCGAGTGGCAGCAGCTCAGGTCTGTGTGCTTTCATTAGAGCAGGGGTCCTCAAACTTTTTCAACAGGGGGCCAGTTGAAAGGTGCTGGCGATGGGTGTGGGTCGCCAAGGCAGTGCAGGCGGGGGGTGCGGTGCGTGCGCACGCAGCGAGGCAGGGGCAGATGCGCGCGGAGATTGTTTTCTCCGAGCGAGTCCAAAGCGAGCTCTGCATGAGCAAGCCACCACCTCACCCCGCGCACGCACGTGGCAAGTCCCAATCCTCCATGGGGGGGCAGATAAATGGGCATGGTGGGCCAAATCCAGCCCATGGGCCATAGTTTGAGGACCCGTGCATTAGAGGAGCAACGGGGGCAGCAGTGCAGCTGCCCAGGCTGGGCTCAGCGTTGCCTGGTGCCGACACTGGTGCCTCCTGCTACCGCCAGGCTCATTCTCACGGCGCAGGGCTGCAGTGATGGGGGGTGGGGATGGGATGGGGCCTGCCCCACAGGTCTTCCATAACATTTTCTTGTCCCATTTACTTGTGGAGATAGAAGACAGGCTGAAAGACAGCAACAGACTTCTGCCCCCAGACTGGGTCCCCACAGCACGACAAACCTGGACCGGATTCTCCAGGATAGTGGGCAACAAGTCGCTCCACGAGCCCGGGGGTTGTTGTGCCCAGAAATGGTCGCTGTGTCATCTGAACCTGGGGCAAGCAGTGGGATTGGGCAAAATGGGCAATTCCAGCTTGGATTATGATCCACTGGGGGGAGGGGTCATTTTGGCTCCCCCCCTTTTTGGAGATTGCAAATGTCAGCTTGACAGGGTGACTTTCACTGTCCGCATTTTTACAGTTACCCCACACTTATCTGACACTGTGGAGGGATTGTCTGTGCTTGCCAAACATATTCATTCATTCATTCATTCATTCATTCATTCATTAAAAGCTTTTCTACCCCATCTACCACTAGCATCTTGGCACGGCTTACAATAAAACAAGTTTGGCTCTAAAAAGTCCAGCAGGTTCCCACCCTGGGCATTCATCCACAGCGGCTATCAAATGGAAGAAACTATATGAGTGATCTCAGCTCACAGAAAGGGGGTGGCAGGTTGTTCATCCCACTTGCAGCAAGTTACTCAGGAGTTCATCTCAGGCTGTGGGCTCCACGCTTCTCTTCCTTTTGGACTTGGCCCTGAAGTTCTACCGCCATGGGAACTTACCAAAGCCCTCGTTTGCCCCTCATGGAAGCTAAACTGCGTTTTTCGCTTAGGACTGGGAAAGGGTCTTGTTTTGTTTTGTTGCCAGAAAGTGCATAGGCACACAGACCACACGTCCGTCCTGCCCTGCGGGATGGCAGGGGAAGTGGCAGGGCAGAGATCCCACAGTCAAGCATGCCTTTCTGGGCATACCGCCTGCCTCCTCACACCCCGTCGCCATGAAACGGCTTGCCACAGACCGGCCAGGGCTGCACCCACCCCGTGGGCTCGGTGCACCTGGCCTGTGCCGGAGGGGGGGGGACTCTCCACAGGGCTAGCCAGCACGCGGGGCACGCGGAGCTGGGCCTGCCTGCCGCTTTTCTGCCGCCCCTCCTGCCAGCCCCTCGCACCTTTCTCGGGGGTGGTGAAGCTCTTCGCCGCGCTCCAGCCGCTCCAGTAGCCGGCCGGCAGCTTCCGGCAGCGCATCTGCAGATGGTAGGGGGTGCCGAAGAGGAGGCCGCAGTGCTGCGCCTGCCAGACGGGGCTGGAGACGTTGCGGACCTGGGGGCAGAGCGCGCGGATGAGAACAGCGGGCGCGCGCCCCCGGCCGGCCAGCCCCACGCGGCCTCTGGGGGCGCCCGTGCGGGGCGGCCCGGGCGGCCTGGCTGCGGGGGCGCGCTGCGCGGGAAGGAGCACGCCTGAAGCGGCGGGGGCGGCCGGCGAGCAGCTCGACGGCGAGGCCTCGCGCTCGGGCACTTTCCGCGGGGACCCGCGCACAGCGCGGCGAGCGACACGTGCAGCGGACGAGCGGCGGGATACTCACGAGCACCCACTGCGGGTCGCCCTCCTCCCGGTAGCGCAGCTCGCACAGCTGCCGCGGGAACGCCTCGCCGCTCGCGGCCTGCCACGCCACCTGCGCACAGCCGCTCTCCCCCGGGATGGGCTGGACCGCCAGGAGGCTGGGCGGCTCCAGCAGGACTGAAAAGCGAGCGCAGGGCAAGGCCTCAGGCGCGGGCCTCGCGCAGCGTGCGGCGCTGGGGCTCCGCGCCGTTCGAGCCCGGGCTGCCGTCCGCCTTCTGCCCTCGCCCCAGGACGACCTGCTGGCCCGGGCGGCCGCTTGCCTCTGCCCACGCCCCCCCCCCCCCCCGGCCCCCCCCGGGCCCCCCCCCCCCCCCCGCCCCCCCCCCCCCCCCCCCCCCGCCCCCGGGCCCCCCCCCCCCCCCGAGCCACGCACCCAAGTCCGCCGGGTCCGCACACAGGCGCGCCGACTCCACTGCCCCCAGGGCGTTCTCCGTGGATACCAGGAAAAGCATCTTCTGATAGAGGCGGAGGTGCTGGCGGGCAATGGTGCAGGAGCTCTGGCCAGCCGCGGGGCTGCAGCCTGGGATGGGCTCCAGGGGCTCCTTGCACTCCCTCCGGGCCCTGTGAAGCCAGAGGGTGACACGGCCCTCACTTGCGGTGGAGCTGCTGCCCCTGCGGGCGCCCTGCCCAGGCCTGGAAGCCATGGCCCTGAAGCGCACGCACCCGGCAACGTTGCCTCCGCGTAACTTTGCTCCGGAAAGAGATTCTGGACGCCATCCCATGCACCAGGGTCTCCATCGACCAGTCCCGGCTCCAGGAGCCAGGATCTGGAGAGGCAGGCCCTCCTACAGCCCACACCCCCTTGCTCACCAGAAGCCCCTCAGGACGGTGCTCACGGGGAGGAGGCTGTCCCGGCCAGCATCCCACTGGCAGGTCAGATTCATGGACGAGGCGTTCATGACACAGGTAAGGTTTTGCGGGGGCGATGGGGGATCTGAAGGAAGAGCACAAGACAGATGTGGGGAGGGGCTTCTGCTCTAAGCAGTTGGTGCCACCTTCAGGCCAAAGCTGACCTCTTCGTGTTCTTTTGGGTCTGTTTCCACCCAATGACATCTGTTCCTGTAGTTCTCTTATATTCAGCATGCAATGATACTGCAAGCAAGCAAGCACATCTTTGCCCAGAGAAAACACGAGTCTGTTTCTTTGCATTTGACAGTATTTCAAGGGTAATGTGCTGACTAGGATTTCAGGTATGGCAGACCAGAACATTATGTATTTTTACTACTACCCCAAAATCCAGAAATGCCACTACACCTGGCACACTGGTGTGTGGATTGGAACACAGAACTTTGTGCTCAGAAGCACCGTCAATTTTTAAATACTCATTCCAGCCTTGCGAGGAGTCTGCCACAGAGCAGCCAGTTACCAGGCTGCTTCCGGGTTCAATTCAAGGGGCTGGATTTGACTTTTAACACCTCCTGGTCCTGGGACCAGAATTTCTTTACAACGCCCCGCCCCCTTCCTGTGTGAGCTGCCCCGAGCACTTCAGGGACCTTCTCCAAGGGTTCCTCACACCCTGTCAAGGGCACAGTGGATGGCCGTGAGAGGCAGCGCGTGTTTGGTTGTGGGGCCCCAGTTAGCAGCCTCTGTTGAATTTGGAGAAGAAAACCCATCGATCCAGGCAGGATAAAAGCCACTACTTCATGAGCTAGAGAGCGGGGGGAGGGGGAGTCCTGGATCACTTGGTGATCAGATGCTGACTGGGTTGCCACGGCATGCCAAGCCACAGGGGTGGGTGACTTAGTGCCTGGTCTGAACCCCTGCTTTCCCGAGGTCCCCCTGGCCTGCAAGCCTCCCAGCCAGCCAGCCCTGCCCTGCAGTGAGGTTTAGGACACTCTTGTGGCCTAGTGTGTCCTTTAAGCCCGGATCATGCTAAGCCTGGCCCAGCCAAAGGTGGAGAGCCCTTGGCTGGAGGGGCGAGGAGAGAGGCCAGTGATAGCAGGCCAGGAGCCCGTGGCACTTCATGGGGCTGCCCCTGGCTCCCACCACACGCCTGCCAGCTCCAAGGGCCTGGAAGCCCAGCGCCCCCCAGCGCGCCTCCCTGCCCGGCATCCCCGCGACGCCTGCAGGAGTGCGGAGCAGAGAAGCCGATGGCAGGACCACCCGCAGCCGCTGCCACCCCGTGCCACTCAGTGCTCCAGTCTGGCGGGCGGGCGGGGAGGGAAGCCGGAGGACCGCACTGCCATCCTGCCCTCCAGAGCAGCTCACGGAGTTAGGCGTGGCCCTGAGAGGCGATCTGGACGTGGCCCAAACATAAAGATGACTTTTTCTATCCTTTTTTTTAGAACATGGGTTGAGATTTTGCAGTTCGTATTATTATCTTACTGAATGTCAGACACATTGCTTATTTCAGTGGAAGGAAGGTGTAGGAACCAACTAAGAGTGCAGTCCTATGCAGTGCTGGCAGGAAAAAGCCCCCCAACTTCAGCAGTCTCCTGGCTAGGAAGTGCTGCAAGTGGAAGGACTTCTTCAGGCACGGGCGGGACTGTGCCGGAAGTCAAAGGAAGAGCCGAGCGACACTTACATCCTGCCTGGATCTGGATGAGGTTCATGCGTTGGGGCGATCCGTCCCTCTTCTGCACAAAGCAGCTCAGACTGGACTTGGTCTCATTGAGAGGGCCGATGGTGATATTGGAAACTTCCACCCCATTACTGAAGCTGTCATGCGAGCCCTTCAGGAACTCCTCGTCCAGTTTCCACAGCATCTGGATTTTTTCGTCCTTTGGAAATGGGCAGCGGTTTCTCCAGACAGTGCAAGAAGCGTTGACTGTTGCTCCCAAAAGCACGACTGGGGAGTCCACCGTGAGGTGGCTGCAGGGCAGAGCTCCTGCTGGGGAAGAGTGGAGAGGAGTCTTCCCCCTGGAAAGCTTGGGAGAGCGAGTGAGTGTGCGGCGCTCTTTTTAAAAGAGCAGGGTTTGCATATCTGCGTTGCTTGGGAGCCTCCAGCCCACTGAAGGCCTGCCTGGCCCTCTCCCACGCCTGCAGTTGGCTGCTGCCATGATAAAATAAAACTTTGCGGCGTGTGTCTTGGACACTGCCAGCAGCAGAGTGCAACACACACACACAGCATCACAGAATCAGAGCAGCAGAGTGGGAAGGGACCAGAGCGGTCAGCTCCCTGCTAGGCTATGCCTAGCAGGTGGCTGCCCAGCTGCCTCTTGAATGCCTCCAGCGTGGGAGAGCCCACTACCTTCCGAGGTCACAGGTTCCTGTGTCACATTGCCCAGGCAGGAAATGGTTCCTGCTTGCTAGCTGGAACCTGGCTTCCTGCGGCTTGAGCCCATCATTCCATGCCCTGCACTCGGGGATGATCAAGAGGAGAGCCTGGCCTTCCTCTTCATGACAGCCTTTCAGGTTCTTGCAGAGGGCTGTCCTGTCTCCCCTCCGCCTTCTCTCCATGAGGCGAAACGTGCCCAGTTCTTTCCCTCTCTCACCACAGGGCTTTGTTTCCAGTCCCCGGATCGTCCTCGCTGCCCTTCTCTGGACCCTTCCCAGCTTGTCTGGCTCTTCCTTAAACTGGAAGCCCAGAACTGGACATAGCACTCCAGATTAGACCATTGCTGAGAACTAGTACTTCACAATATCAGCTATTTCACATGATTAAACAGACAAACAGGGTTTTCTTTTTAAAACAGGTAATTGGCTGACAATCAATTGTCCTGGGAGGCCACCCTCCCTCAAATGCTGCCAGAGGCAACCCCTGAAGCTCACAGTGGGAGTATCTGCATGTGTAGGGATATATTAGGCCCGGCTTGGCTACACTCACTTTCTGCTCACTTACCTTCTGGGAGCAGAAGGAAGAAGATGGAGTAGCCCAGCAGCACACTCCAGGGTGTTGTTGTGGCTGCCATGGCTTCCTCGGAGTCCTGGCGTTACCTGGAATTTACGGGGAGACGTGAGTTCAGGCAGATCGGTTTACTCCGTCCCTGGTGACGGGGACAGCCTTCCGCCAGGAGTAGGAGCGTGGCCAGCCCCGAGCACAGACGCGATGCGCTGTGGGGGGCGCCAGAGAGGACTGTGTGCCCTAGAGTTTCACCATCTTTTGCGTCATACCAAAAGGATCAGCTGCAGCTTGGCATAGAGCCGTATGCTGGGGTCCCTGTGATGCCCTCCCCATGCGTTTGGCTTCAGGCATGCTTAAAATATTGCTGAACTCGCGGCACTCTTGGGATGAAAGGCAAGTCTGGAATGTGAACACAGAGGGGTATCACCTTTTTAGAAAGGACAGGAAGGGAAAGGGGGGTGGGGACGTGGCTTTATACGTCAGGGAAGGGATAGGATGCAGTGAGACAGAATGCAGCACAGATGGGGATTTGGCAGAGGCAGTCTGGGTGAAACTTAGGGGTTTGGACGGGGAAAGGGGCCTGACAGTGGGGGTATGTTATCGTCCTCCAGGTCAACTTGAGGTCAACAGGTCCTACCAGACAAACCTTGTGGAATTCTATGACAAGGTTTCGAGATGGCTAGATGGAGGGGATGTAGTGGATGTGGTTTACCTGGATTTATTTATTTATTTATTTATTTATTTATTTATTTATTTATTAAAACATTTCTATGCCGCCCCTTGCCGAAGCCTCGGGGCGGCTCACAACATAGAATAAAATACACAATAAATTAAAACAATAACAATTAAAATATATACAGTAGAATAAAATAAGCCGCCCTGGCCAAATAAAATTCAATAATATTAACATTTAAAATGCAGCTTAAATAAAAAAAATAAAAAGATTTTAGCAAGGCCTTTGACAAAGTGCCCCATGATATCCTGGTGGAGAAACTGAGGAGTTTTGGGATACACCAAAGCACTGTCCGATGGATAAGGGCATGATTGACTGACTGAAAACAGAGGGTAACCATTAGTGGGGAATTGTCGGGATGGCGGCCAGTGACAAGCGGGGGCCCCCAGGGCTCTGTGCTGGGGTCGATCCTGTTTAATCTTTTCATCAGTGACATGGAAGAAGGGGTGAACAGTCTGCTGATCAAATTCGCAGACAACACTAAAACTGGAGCAGTGGCCACAACTGAGGAGCAGGTACTCCAGTTCCAAAAGGATCCGGACAGACTATGGAAGTGGGCAGGAGACAACAGGATGGCGTTTGATGTGGATAAGTGCAAGGTCTTGCACTTGGGGCATAGGAATGGGTGTCATAAGTACAGGTTAGGGGGCAAGTGGCTGGAGAGCAGAACTTGTGAAAGGGACCTCGGGGTGCTGGTCGACTGCAGGCTGAACGTGAGCCAGCCGTGTGATGCGGTGGTCAAGAGGGCGAATGCCACCCTTGGTTGCATGGCCAGAAGCGTGGCTTCTAGATCGAGAGAGGTATTACTGCCACTCTATATGACTCTGGTGCACCCACAACTGGAGTATTGTGCTCAGTTCTGGGCCCCTCATGACAGGAAGGATATAGCCAGGTTAGAGTCAGTAGGGCCACAAAGTTGGTGGCCGGTTTGCAGGGATGGGGTATGAGGCGAGACTGAGGGAACTGGGTCTCTTCAGCCTGGAGAAGAGGAGACTCAGAGGGGATCTGTTGGCGACATACAGGTATGCGAGGGGGTGTCACACGGAGGTGGGTAGAGACCTGTTCTCCCCTGCAGAGGAAGGCAGGATGCGCTCCAACGGAGCCAAGCTCAGGGAACCCAGGTTCCATTTGAATGCCAGGAAGCACTTCTGACCCCCAGGGTGTGGAATGGGCTTCCACGGAAGGTGGTTGAGGCCCCATCGGTGAGGCTGTTCAAAGATAGGCTGGACATGCACATGGTGGGCATGTCGTGAGAGGAGCCGGCTGGAGCCGGGGGTCAGACTAGATGGCCCAGGAGGCCCCTTCTGACTCGCTCTGTTTCCATGTTTCTATTAGTTTTTGCAACAATAAGTGTCAATAAAAGTTCTACATCTGTTTTCTCCCAGACGTATGGAAGGTGCTAACGTTGTGATCAGACAATACCTATGCAAATTTTGGGTGATCCTCAGAAACACAGAAAGTGTAAGATGTAATATTCGATGTCCTACTCAGAGTAAACTTGTTGAATGCATGGGACTTAAATTAGAATAACGCAATGTCTTTGTCTGTTGTTATGGGGCAGTAACAATCCAAGTTTGGATAATGCATTCTTTTTGGAGCCAGGTAAAACCTTTTTATTTTCCCAGTATTTTAACAGTTAACTTTTAAATGTTAGTTTTAATATGGTATTTTATCCTGTACTGCTGCTTTACTTCTGTGGTGATTCAGTTGCAACTGCTGTGCATTTATTGTCTTATGCTAATTTTTTGCAATTTGTGTGGTTTTAACTTTTGTTAATTTCATAGAGAGCCTGAGCCATTGGGTGGCATAAAAATGAAATAATAATAATAATGGGACCCAAAAGGATAGTTAGATGTTGTCCTACTAGTATTTTATTTTATATTTTTAATAGTAGACTGTAGATTCAAACACCATTCATAGACTGGAAGAATAATTTCCATAAATAAAGAAGGAAAAATTAGAGAGAAAAGCAACACTTGCAGGGGCGTTCAGAAAAAGGGACTTGTCTTCATTGAGCCTCTCCTCCGCGGGGAATTGCCACAGGCTCTCGGGCGTCCCCCTTACCGCTTCCCCGGGAGACTCAAAGCGTGTGGCCCTCCTTTCCACCCAGCGCAACGGCCCAGTCCTAGCATTGTTCACATCTGCCTGGAACTGCTGGTGTTCGAGTCGATGGCGTACCGATGCCGCTCTTAAATGGACATATATTTGGTCTGCCTTTGCTGAGGCTGATACAATGTATATCCAGTTATGTATTTGGAAATTTACATGCCAGCAATTGCTAATTTCAGGGCTGATGTTCTTTCCCCTTTGGAAGTTTGGATTTGGGTTTATTGGAATTCACAGTTAGAAAGAAATGAAAAAGAAATGTCTCCAAGAAGCGGATCAGTGATTTGCCATCTCTTGGTTTAAGTCACTCTGTGAAAGAATGTCCCTCTGGAGGTGTGCTGAGGTGAGACCCCCATGTCTCCTGGACACACATTTTCTCGACCCAGCACCACATCAGAATCGAGCCAGATGCACGTAGCTACAAAATGAGCAAGGCAGCCAGCCCTCAGCAGGCCTACTTTGGAGTAAGGATAGGGCACCCCCCCACACACACCAGTCATTCTGTCTCAAGAGCAACACGCAAAGGTGTTTTGGAATTGGGACACTCGGCCGGTAGACTGATGAGTGGCATAGGTGGCCACCTCCGTGGACTCGGACCAGGCATGGTCCGGGGCTCATCAGCCAGCATTTTGAATGGAAAGAATCTCAGGTGGGAAAAAGAGCTCTCTCTGTCCAACATGGGGGAGATGCTGCCTGTTGGAGCAGGTGCTATTGGGCCGGAAGGCTCAGGTGACCTGTTTCACATCAGGCAAGCTTCCTGTCATCACCCCCCTATAATGAACTCAGGTGGGTGAATGGCACCTGCGTAGCGACAAACGGGGCCCCCAGGGTGAATCACAGCATGCTCAGCCGGATCTTCAGGTATTCGGACACGAAACGTACATGAACCTCCTCTTTCTAGTCCAGCAACACAGAAATAGTTCCCCGATGACAACGGCCTGCCTGGTGGCCTGCGGGAACACTGAGTGCAACTCGCACAGGAAGTGGTGCCCGGGAGGGGAAGGGGAGAAGCCCGCCGGTGCCACAGCCCTCTGCATGAACGCCAGCAGAAGCCCCCCGGTCGGGGAGGGGGCAGTGCGGGTCCCGTGTGTGCCCCCGCTAGCCATCCTGGCCGAGGGCACCCGCCCGAACGCACCGAGGCAGAACAGAACCTGCGCTCGCCCCACAGGCCCCAGCCAGCCTGGCAGTCTGGGACTGTTTTCTGTCAAAATGAGTGCAGGGCTGCATCCTGAAGGGTTCAGGAGAAGGCCGCCGGTGCCCATGTCCTGCCTGAGAGTGCCCAGCCACCCGGCCAGTCCCGTCCAACCGCTCTGCTCGAGACCTTTCTGCCTGTTCCTCGGCACTTCCTGCGTCCCACATCGCTGCCTGCTCCGAAGGAGTCCCCCCACCACACCGTTTACCCATGAATGTCAGCAAGAGAAAGCAGCAAGGTGCCCGCTGGCTGTGAGAAGACGACAGTGGGCCCTGCAGGCCCTCGAGAAGGCAAAGCAAGCAGCCAGGAAGATGGCTGGGCTCGGGCCCCCCACCAACCACTGCCCCCTAGGCATCCTGCCCCCACCCCCACAGCTTACCTGAGGCCTCCACGTCCTGCCTGCCTGCTCATGCTGGACACCGGCTGCGCAGGGGAGCAGGGAGGGCTGCTTGGGCAGGGCTGCCTGTCCACTTCCCCAGCCAGCGCCTCGGCATGAAAAAGAGCGCTCCGTTCACCCAGCACAAAGAGCTGTCATTAATTCCTCAGTTCCCCTCTCTGCCTCTTTCTGAGCAAGGTGATTGCAAAACCCCTCTCCGTTATCTGCCCAGCTCTGTCTTAGGAAGGAAGGAACTCTGCGGCTGGCACACTCACACTCACATGCACATACACATCTCTTGCTGAGCCACGAGAGGAGATGGCCCCTGCCTCAGCTTCCCCAGCCCTCGCAGCTTTGGAGGGGCCCTTCGCAGAATCACTGATGTGGCCCCCCTCATCTCCTTGGCTGCCGCCCGCCCCGATTGCGCAGCTGCAGGCAGGGAGACGGCCGCAGTGGAGGAGGAAAGAGTCTGCTGGACCCCGCTGCTAGCCAGTGCCAATGGGACAGAAAGTCCGCTCTCTTTGCAGAGGGTCCCAGGCAGTTTTCATGAGGTGTGTGGGTTGGAGGACACCAACACAGGAATGATGGGGAGCCTGCCAAGGATGTTGGTTCAGCTGCCCGGAGAGGTGGGGGGCTCTCCCACACTGGAGACATTCAGAAAGAAGCTGGGCAGCCACCTGAGTGGGGTGGTGCAGCTTGGTGTCCTGCAACAGCAGGGGGTGGGCTCGGTGGCGTTCTTGGCCCTTTCAGCTCCACTGCTCTACGAGCCTATGGTGCCCCCCAAGGATCACAAGCGTCCCAGCAGGGCAGGGGAAGTGCCGCTGTGGAACCGGGGCCCAGTCGCCACCGGGTGAATGCGAACCTGGCTTGGCATCCCCTTTGCACAGCCAGGCACATGCAGCTTCCCAAAACCTCAGGGGCCTGGGGCTGGGTACAATCCATGGTTTTCCTTAAATGGAACACCCTTAAATTCCATGTAACCATTCAGCACCATGATGTTAATACTGATAGGGTTCATTATTGAGAGCATCCCTCACTTTGAGATGGTTTCTGCTAAGGGGTCCAATGCCCACGGCTGCCCGGTCTGTTGATTCTGTCTGATTGTCTCCCTTGGCCAAAGCAACCCTCATTCTGCACAGAATGGCCGGAACGGGTCCGAACTGGGGACCGCTTTGCCCAGAGGCCTGTTCCCATAACCTCCGTGGGGGTCTCAAAGCAGCCCGGGAAGAGGCTCGATGGGAGGCCTGCACCCACGAGAGCAGACCCTGTGCACAGCTTGAGCTAAGAGCATGGAAAGGGCAGTGGGGGCTCAGCTCCTGGCAGCTTGCATTTCTCTGTGCGGCTCTGACTCCTTGCAGATGGCCAGCCAAATTCCGTGTTTACTTCATGGGGGTGGAGAATGATGATGAAAACAGGCAAATTGCACAATTCCACACCACTTTTCTGGCTTCTAGGTTTGTGTCACTTCCTGTACCAGAGAGTTGTTTGTTACAGAATTATGTACTGTGCTGTGCTTACTAAAGGTAGGGAAGTTTTCCACTGGCCTGGCATAAAAGAAGCTAGTCCTCATTGCCTTCTTCTTCATGAGCTGACTTCCATGCCACTTCTCAAGTGGATCTTCCTTCTTTTATTATGGGATATATATATATTCTGCCATTCCACTTTGTACACACAGTGCTCAGAGCATCTGACATTAATTTAAAAACTATACATACAACATAACAAACACAGCAGTGGCAGCGGCAGCAAAAAGTCCCAGAAATAAAAAGAAACAGGGTAATCAATAAAACAATGGCTGGACATGCACAATGCAACAAGCCACAGTGGGATTGTTTTTACCATGGTTTGTCTGTCATGTTTGGACATGCACATGGTGGGCACGTCGTGAGCAGAGCCGGCTGGAGCCGGGGGTCAGACTAGATGGCCCAGGAGACCCCTTCTGACTTGCTCTGTTCCTGTTTCTATGTTTCTATGTCATAAACCCAGTGACGGTATTTCAACATGGTTTATTTGGTCATTAGAAACCACAAAAGAAACAACCATTTGTTCTGTGGTTTCTCCATACTGTAATGGTTTCTCATGACATCCAAATCTGTCTGGGAATACATCTACCACAGAGTCTTCTGGAAAAAGTGGCAACTCCAGGAGCCACTCCAGCTATCCAGCCTCTATGATTCCTCTCTGCCTAGTAGCAGACGCGTTGCCGCTCGCATGACCAGGTCCCTTCTGATATCTAACTCGGCCTAGATGGCCTGGGAGGCCCCTTCTGACTCGCTCTGTTTCTATGTAGCTTATTGAAGTGCAATTCTTTTCAGAGCAGAGGCCAGAAACCTAGTAGATAGTAGAGCAGCCTTCTGCCAAAGGTGAAGGAGACACATTTGCTCATGTCGAAAGGTGACTCAGAACTGGTAACTTTCCTCTGCCCCTCTCTTTTGGCAAAGCTTCTGGCTCCGCCCTCAGGGGGGCTCTTGCAGCTTCAGGGCAAGATGGGGGGACTGCCAGAGAACACCTCTAACTGAGCAACTCGCTTCTCTTGTCACCTTCTTACAGAGTCAAGGACTGGCTCTTGCTTATGCTCCCTCCCCACTTAAAAGCCCTTCCACCCCTTCCAGGGCAGGCCAGTTCAAATGCTCTTCCTGAGAAACTTTACTGGCGAACCTTGCAGCTTCAAAGCCCTTGCCCTCTTGCACCTCCACCTCTTCCTCAGCGTCAGGAGAATTCATCTGAACAGTCTGTTGGGGGGAGAGGAGTCCCCTCTCTTCAGCCGCCTCCTGCAGTCCGTGCTGCGCCCCCTTCGGCCCCAGGCTCCCCCACTCGCCTCCAGCTGCCCGCCTGTCGCCGTTGTCTCCCAGCAGCAGGGGGGCCTCCCCTTCCGCACTGCCTGCACAGCAGCCCTGGCGGCGGCTGCCCTGTGGCTCCGCTCTGCCCACGGCGGGCCTCGCCGGCACCTGCTCCACATTGCCCTGCCTTGCGCTTCCAGGCCAAGCTGCCTCTCCCCTCACTTTCAGGTAGCCTCTCTGTGTGGGGACACACGGCAAAACACTGCAGGGAGTGCTAAAACAGGGAGTGGTCTCTGGCACGATCTCTTGTTTCATTTTGGACCGTTCCATCACAAGTGGTTTCCCATCACCTTCCTCTGTGCGACCAGAGTTGTACGCCCAGAGCTGGCATCACTGCAGTTCTCTGTGAAAGATCCTCCACCAGTGTTGCCTCCAGCTACCGCTCTGCCCACTGGCTGTCCTTCAGGAGTTACTCTGCCCCCATCCCGTTCTCTTCTGCTGATGCGGCCGTCCCTCCCGAAGAGGCTGGCGCGCCTTGGCCTGGCGCCCTGGCCTTGCCCGTCCCGCTGTGGGCGGCCCCACAAGGAGAGCAGCCCAGTGAGATGGTCTCGCCTCCTGGCAGCATGGCCCTCGGCCTCTCTGTCCCCTCAAGTCCTCTCACTGCTTTCAGGTGTGCATCCAGGAAGGGCAGCAGCATGTGCCGGGCATGCAACATGCCACTGGAAGTGGGCAGCGGGTTTCTCCTGCCTTTGTCCAGTTTGTTTTGTAGTCACTGTTTTACCAAGAAAGTAAAGAGGCTCCCCAAAGGCTTCGAGGGGCATGTGGTCCAGTGAATTGGGCAACACTGCAAATTCTTGTCTCGGCTTTGTGGTTCAACCCAGGGGCCTTTTGCTGGAATCTGTTTCAGATATCCAGACCCCGGGATAAATTCAATCCAAGTGCATTCACTCAATCCGAGAAACCATCTTAGAGGCAAAATGTTGCTGAAGAAAACAAGTTCAAGCAAGCAGCATCAGAAAGCAAGAAAAGAGCTGGGAATGAGGATCATTGGCTTGGCCCAGACTAAGTTGCTTGTGCTGAGAAGGCAGCCTGGCCTGGGCCCTGGTGCTCCCAGGCACACCCACAGGCCGGTTGCTCACCTGGAACTGCCGCCTGCATCCTGGAAGCATCCTTGCACACATTGCTTACAACTGAGATCCAGACATAGTTTTCTTAACTTTGAAAAGGTGTATCCAGAGCCCATGTATGCCAGTGAAACATCAGAGGAGCTGGCCTGTCCCTGCAGTAGAGTATTTTGCTTTAATCTAGGAAGTTCAGAAGCCAGGCAGGTGAGACCCCATAATTAGTGCTGTTGCTTTCAAAGACCCAGTGCAGATAGGCTGAGAGCCTGGCAGTGGAAGGGCAGGCTTGGTCCTCCAGCAAGAATGTTCAGCCCCATCCTGGGGAACATCCTGGAGTTTTCTCATATTTTCATCCAGTGGTAAGTCAGTTGGCCCCAGAGTTCTAATAAAGAGAAGTCTAGCGATGGGCCGGCACGGGCCGATGGTGCCTGGCTGAATCTCCAAGAATGTTTTGCTGCTTCCATGGCCAGCCCTCAGGTGCCTCTCTCCGTGTTCCCTGCCACATGTCCGGAACAGCTCACAAGCCAAGAACAGCACTTCAAAAGCAAGAAAGCCTAGCAACACATCAGTTGCAACAATAATCTTCACAATAACAGCCCACACAATTTACTTTGCTAACCCCAACAGTACAACCTTTTAAATACGTTGCAAAATAGGCAAGAGCAACCTCTAAAATACTGCAACTGGGATTCCCGGTCATTCTGCCCTGATACTGGGCAGAGAACCATTGTGGGAACTGCCCCAGCCCCATCCGACACGGCTGACTGGGGATGCCTCGTGAGCACAGTGCTGGAGCAGACGACCCCCTGGCTGACCCCGCAGGGCTCTCTGAAGGTCTCGCTGCGCTCCTCAGTCTCATCGCCAGACGAGTGCACACACGGCCACAGATGCCGAGCCGAG